TGATTTATAGAATTTCCTCATTAATTATGCAAATTACATCAATATTTGCATAATTGTAATATCATTATGTAAAGCATCACTTAAGCTACCTACATACCAAAAATCACGATGATCCATCAATCGGTTCTTGAGTTATCCTCTTTCAAACATTTGTCCTTTAAACCCCCCTGCAGTTCTAGAGCAAGCAACTAGGGGGCTCAAACTCATGTCACTTCATCCCCAGCACAAGAGCTATCTACCATCTAAATTTGGTTACCCTAGCATGTCTGGATCTTGAGATATCAAAACCGGAAGTTCTGCTGCAGTACCATGACAAGCCGCCAGGTGGCCCAAAATCTAATCATTTTGAGGTCTCATCAAGACCTACCCACCTACCAAATATCAAGTCAGTCCATGTAAGCCTTCTCAAGTTATCGTGTTTACAGACAGACAGACAGACACACACACGAACGCCTCTGAAAACATAACCTTCTTGGCGAAGGTAATAAAGAGGGGACACATATCCCTGGGGTAGATAGGGTATTTGATATAGAAGGTTGGGGACTCTTTTCTTGATCCACTTGAAACTTAAACAGGGAGAAACATATTCCCGGGTTAGCTGTAATTTTCGGTCCCATCAGCAGAAAGACAAGAAGTCTTCCTATTTTCCTCTAAGAAGCTTGCTTTTCATCTTAACTTAACTTACTTTATAGGAAGAAATCAAAAGAAAATCCAGGTCCGTTAGCACCCAGGATTTTCAGTGAAAAGCCAACAAGTGCATCTTAGAAGCTTGAGTTTCAACTAGAACTAACAAAAGTTAGTTCATGCATTAGTGCATATTTGGAAACTTTATAGAACTCAAATGTTTCAAGGACAGAAATAAAAACAAAACATTGTGGGAAGGGGGACACATATTCCCGGGGTATAGCTGGGATTTTCGGTCCCCCCACTGAAATGTCAACAAGTTCATCTTAGAAGCTTGCTTTCAAACTTGAACTGATAAAACGCATTGTATAAATACAAATTCGAAACTCCAATTGGAAGAAATAAAAAGAAAATCAAGGACCGTGCGGTCTAGGAATTCTAAGAGGGAGACACATGTTCCCGGGTAGCCGGGATTTTCGGTCCCCCCTCTATAATGTCAACAAGATTAACTTAAAAGCTTGTTTTGAAACTTAAAATCACAAAACGCAATGTATATACAAATCAAAACTTCATTGGAAAAAGAAAAAGAAAACCAAGGACCGTGCGGACTATATAGGAATTCTAAGAGGGGGGAACACATATTCCCGGGTAGTCGGGATTTTCAGTCCACCCTTCTGAAACCTCTAAAATGTCAAAAAAATTCATCTTAGAAGCTTGTTTTGAGACTTAAAATCACAAAACGCAATGTATTAATATAAATCAAAACACCATTGGAAGAAATAAAAAGAAAACCAAGGACCGTGCGGCCCAAATAGGAATTCTAAGAGGAGGGACGCATATTCCCGAGTAGTCAGGATTTTTAGTCCCCCTCTTAAATGTCAACAAATTCATCTTAAAAGCTTGTTTTGAAACTTCAAATCACAAAACGCAATATATAGATATATATCAAAACTTCATTGGAAGAAATAAAAGGAAAACCAAGGACCGTGCGGACTATATAGGAATTCCAGGAGGGTGAGCACATATTCCCGTGTAGTCGGTATTTTCGGTCCCCCCTCTAAATTGTCAACAAATTCATCTTAGAAGCTTGTTTCGAAACTTAAAATCACAAAACGCAATGTATTAATACAATTCAAATTTCATTGGAAGAAATAAAAAGAAAACCATGGACCGTGCGGTCTATATATATATATAGGAATTCTAAGAAAGGGGACACATATTCCCTTTTAGAATTCCTATATAGACCGCACGGTCCTTGGTTTTCTTTTTATTTCTTCTAATTAAGTTTTGATTTGTATTAATACAATGCGTTTTGTGAGTTCAAGTTTAAAAGCAAGCTTCTAAGATGAACTTGTTGACATTTTAGAGGAGGGAAACAAAAATCCCGGGTACCCGGGAATATGTGTTCCCCCTTCCTAGAATTCCTATATGGGCCGCACGGTCCTTGGTTTTCTTTTTTTCTTCTAATGAATTTAGATTTGTATTAATACAATGCGTTTTGTGAGTTCAATTTTAAAAGGAAGCTTCTAAGATGAACTTACCCGGTTATTTCCCACAATTCCTATTCCCACTTATTCCTGACAGGAAAAGCTACCTGTCATAAGCATGTTCAAGTAAAAAAAAATTGACACATTAGCGTCTGAAGAATTTAAAAGAAAGACAGTCCTCCAGACTATTAGTATTATTGTAGCTGTGGGCCTTTGTACTTTTTAGGCCACGCGCACCACGGGAAGGGGACCGATTTTGGGCAAAGGCCACCAAATGACCCCTTTGATTGAGTGCAGCCAAACCAACTGAAAACAGCCTTTTTCTTGGTATGTGTGGATAAATGCTGGCATTTTCCAGCTGGAGAGTTATTTCTATTTCTATTAACTTGAAAAAACTGGCTGTTAGGGTTGTTTTGGCTGCTTGGTAGGTTCTAAAACTAATCCCATCTTCTTGTCTTTTGGTGGTCTTCAAGGGGGTCAGAGGTCATGCTGCCAGTGTTTGCATTTGCCGTGCCATGTATCGCTGGTCAAAAAGTGAAATTTTTGGACTAAATGGACAATTTGGAAGTTGGACTACCCTGTCAATATGTGTTTGCAATAGTTGAACACTCAAGTAGGTGATTTTTGACAGCTCAGTTCTTAGATGTTTTCCATATATTCCAATAGGGGCTGGAATCATGCTGTCCCCTTTTAATGGGGGACGCATATTTTTCGAACATCGGCCTCCCGTAAAAGCACCGCGACGCTCCCAAAACCCCCCGCAATCTTCCTCGAAATCCCGCGAGCTGTTCCGCGTAAACCCCTTGGAACAGTTCTCACAGTAAACTAGAATCCAAGCTGTTAATTAATGATGATGTTCTGAACATTTACCAGGGAGCCAGCTAATTCAGCCCATTAGTTAATGATTAAGCCAGTACAATCAATGTGTCCGACACTGAACAGAACTAAATTCACCCTGTTTTGCTTTTACAGAAACTTCCACGAGATATTGCAGGATAACCTTGGAAACGTGAAGAAAGTTCTTGAGACTGTGCGAGATGGTACAGTCAATGACATCCTGGCACAGCTTGGGTTAGAGAAGTATGGGAGCTATTTCGAGGATAAAGGTATAAAAGATGTTCGGCAACTGATGAAAGACAGCTTTCGAGTTGAACAACTTGAGCAGCTTAACAGTGGAGAGAGGGAGAGAATTCAGGACAAGATCAAAGGACTGCGTAAGTATTCACCTTTTTTTATAAAATTAAAACTTGAAATAAACATGTTTTATCATGATCCAATTTTTGCCATATAGTATGTTTAATGTCAAAAGTCAAGACCATAGCATGTTCAGAACAAAAGATACCAAAACCGGAAGTTCTACTGCAGTACCAAGGTCATCCACCAGGAGGCCCATATTTGACCTTGACCATCGTCTTCCTAAGAGTTACCATCATACCAAATATCATAACAATCCATAAAGGCGTTATGAAGTTATGATGACTACAAATGTGCGGAAACACACACACACACACACACACACACACACACACACACACACACACACACACACGCACACACAGAGACGCGCCAAAAACAGTGTCTCCAATTTTACCTCCATGAAAAATGGAGGTATTGTTTTTGGCGTGTCTGTCTGTGTGTCTGTCTGTGTGTGTTTGTTTGTGTTTCCACACATTTGTAGTCAGCATAACTTCATAACCCCCTTATGGATTATGATCATATTTGGTATGATGGTAAGTCTTAGGAAGACAAAGGTCAAGGTCAAATATGGGCCTCCTGGTGGATAACCTTGGAACTGCAGCAGAACGTCCGGTTTTTGTATCTTTTGTTCTGAACATGCTATGGTCTTGACATTTTGGTCACAGATTTTACTCTAAGAAATAAGTGGTGTGAGTTTGGTTCCCCTAGCAGCTTGTTCTGGAACTGCAGGGCACTTTCTGGCGAAATGTTTAAAAGCCAATAAGTTCAAATAGGAACAACATATTTTCATCATTTCTGGTGTGTAGGTAGCTGAGAGGGAGTTTTACATGATTAAATGCAAAAAATGCAAATGAGGACTTAATTTGCATAATTAATGAGAAAATTCTATAATTACAGTGTTTTATATAGTAGTACTTTTATACATGTAATCTATTTAATGTGGCAGACGGAACATCAACAGATACCAATTATGCAAATGATAATCTAATTTGCATAATCAATGTGAAAATTCTGTGACTCCTTATTGGTGAATGATGGGACTTAAATGCCTTGTAACATGTGTAAGTTACTTAGAGGTTAACACCACTATGCATATATTATGTTAATGCGGAGGTCATTTGCATAATTAATGAGGACATGTTGAAATAAAGCATGACAAAGTAGAGGAACTTTACACAAAAAATATTGTCATTTGAATTTATAGAATCACATATTAAACTAGATTATGCTAATTACGACATAATTTTAATAGTCAATGAGACCAAAAAAAACATTTATAAAAACTCATATATTTCATGGAGGTGTGAGATCTCCGAATTCTTGTTCACGGAGGTAAAGATGGATTTAAGGATGTATAAACCGGGGTGTCATTAGTTTCCATAAACAAGTAGTGTATGAAAAGCAGCATGTACAATTCATTATCAGACGAAGTAGTCTTAATAGTACTGCTATACATGCAAATTACATAGAATTGCCTCTTCTTCCTCTTCGCAATCTTCTTACCAGATTTCTTTTCTGTATCAAAGGTGATTCCTTCAAGGGGATAAAAGAAGCCACAAAAGAAGTGCATGAAATGGGCGAGAGGCGCTACGAGGCTTGTAAAGGGATCACTGAGAAATTCACCACATTCCTGGAAGATATTACCAAGTCTCGCGAAAAAATCTCAACCTTGCTGGCAGACAAACCTAACAAAGAGGAAACTTTGACTATAAATTATATCATAGCTGGATCAATTGCGGCAGCATGCCTCGTTGCTTGTCTTGGTGGAGGATTGCATTGTGCATGGGCATGCTATGCAGGAAAGGAGATTGTCACCGGAGTGAAGGCTTTTACATTAGTATCTGGTTTGGTTGCTGGAACATCTGGTGGACTAACCTGGCACATTGGTAAACAGCCGCCAGGTAAGTATCTTAAATTTGTCTAATTGCATAATAACATTATGTCAACTTCATATATGTATGCATTCAATGCTTGAATGCTATCATGCAGGTAGATAAATAAGTCTCATAATATGCCTGCTATATATAGCTGGCATATATAGCAGTATATTACATAATGTGTTATGACTTGTATACTTGGTATGCAATAAATTCATTACGATACTTTCTGTATGCGTAAAAGTCTCATTACATTAAGGGCCTTAAAAATGGCACTTACAGTTGTAAATATAACCTTTACAATTTCAAATTGTGACTTCCAGAACTAGAGAAAATTGATGAAGCCCTGAAAGAGATTCAGATTAAGCAACTAGACGCCATGAATACCGAGGCAAGCAAGCAGAAGATGGCTTGGCAGGAAATTGAGGAGCTGGCAGGAAAGATAGTGCACTACATGGAGGACTCAAAAATGGTAGAAAAGGCAGGGGGTCTTCAGCACTACCATGATCAGCAAATGAAGAAAATGCTTCGTTGTATTGAGGTTGTGTCGGAAGATGCTGAGGAACTCGAGTCTAACGTGAACCGGTTCGAAAAGGAAGCAAAAAAGGTGTGGAAGAATGTCCGTGCCCTGTCCCTGATGAAGGACTATGTAAGTATTTTCATCAATAGTAAAATTGAATGTGCTATTCTTACTATAATTATTAGTCTGGACTAACGTGTTTGTATGTCTATTGATTCTTGAGAAATCACCTTTCATCATCTAAACAAGTATTTTAGAACAGAAAAGCAGAAGTAAGTTTTCATTGGCCTGGCAGGACCTGAGCATAAAACCTTTAGAAACTAACTAAGGTAAATTCACCGTAAACAAAGGTTTTTCCCAAGAAATTTCTTTGTTTACAATTTCGAATTAAGACCTAAGAATGGCTTCGGTAGCCTTCTGGATCGGAGGAAATATTGTATGGAAGGCAAAATTGCAAATCATCTATCTATCAAATAGTTTATTGGTCAAAAATTAACCGCGTAATCGCAGCTTTTTTTATAGCGCTGATTTACACATAATCACATAATCCACATGATACATATATTTGCTCCACACACACTTTTTTAAATCTCTCTCTCTCCCTCTCTCTGACGTCAGGTTATGCCTGATAGAACACGCCCCATAATCTTTATGCAACCTACATGTATATGTATGATCCGCTGTTAATATTCATTACTGCACAAAAAATATCACTGACACATGTACAAAGAGGGAAACATAATTACTTAATGACGCATGTATTATTTGCCGTTAAATTTTGTCTTCTAGTTCTAAATAACGTCTTCTCCCTTCAGGATACTGCACTAGCTAAGCCTGCTGAAGATTCTCCACGCCCACTTCAGGCCGTTCTTGACCTGGTCCAGAAGACTGCTAAAACATTTAAGCCATGTGAAGGTGCACAACAGATGTCAACACCCATGAAAATGGTGAAAGCCGACTAAACAGCTGAAATACCACAAAGAATGAGAAAGTAGGATTTTCATTTTTTTTTTCTCTCGCAGTAAATTTGTCTCTAGTTGCCTCTTTTTCCTTCTATTTTGAATCGGAAATCCTTTCATTCATATATTCAAGCTAAAAAGAATTATTTTAGTACATACTAGTAGTGAATTCTATAATTCATGTTGCCTTTTTGTAGATTTTGAATTTTAGGGGGCTTTCACCATATTAGTTACTTAATTAAACACTTCTTTAGACAGATTTGCATGATGTAGACGGCACATCAAACCATGTGACTAAAACTAACAAAAACAAAGGCAAAGGAATATTGATATTATTATGTAAAATGTACATTATGGATATACTTTTGCAGCATGGCTCGTTCTCATTGAAATGTTATGTTACAGAATACAGGTAAATGACGTAACAATATCTCACTTTTTGTCTCAGTCTAAATAATATAAATTTTTATATAATAGTATAAATTTTTTCTTCACCAAGTGACAAATCATAGCGAAAACTCCTGCCTTCTTCCCTTAGAAACCCAGAAACCAACAAAAAATTAGAAAGCGGCAATGTCTTGTACTATATGTGTTTTATCCAAGAACATCATATAGAGATCCTTGTTCTATTCAAATTTCATGACCGCCTGACTTGAGCTGTAACGGAGGTTACAGAACTCTGCAAATGGTATAAAGGTTGAGAAATCCAACCTGCGGCTACAATTTCTCCCAAGTCATCAACCATACCTAGTGTTGGGGTACATTTGGCGAAACATAGTGTAGTAGTGGGAAGGTAAAGAAAGTAATACATCTTATCTTAATGAGTGTCGACAACATTTCTGCACATTTCAATGAGAAAGAGGCACATGTCCTTTAGTACATCTTGCCTAAACGCACTTCTTGTTCTTTCAATCAACAGGAACAATGTGGAAGACAACAAGAGGCAAGATGATTTCTTGCTGGTATGCCGAGTAATTTTCTACCTATTCCCTGCATGCAACCATTATACTTCATCAAGGAGAAGGTTTTTAGTATTAATGCTTCGATCTCCTAATGTCAAAATCATTACAGTCAAACAATGCTCCTTGACAAATTATTAAAGTCATGAAAAGACGATGACATCTGTTTACATATATACCTTGACTTGGGATTTTGAGATGTCCTTATTGAGGTGGAAATTGCTAAGATTGACACAGTTATTACCGTCATTGCATTTTGTTTCAATTTCTTCACATGGGCAGTTAGATATAAGTTAATTAAGGATATTTCACAAATGCCTGCCTGGCTATTTTTTTGGGACTGGTATTGATTCCTTTTAAATATCTCAGTAGGCAAGAAACAAGAGGAAATGATATTGGTAAATGTTCTGACTCAAGATACCTTAAATAACTTTTTTATATCTGCATAAATGATTCAATGACCCCCCCCCCCCTTAGATCTTCCCTGGTAAATGCCAAAGCCCAAGCATTTTCTTTAGATGTAAAAATTTGCTTCATTGTTTCAGTGATTTGCTTTTGAGTTTATCAACAAAAAGCTTGACATTTCTTTAATGAAACAAGATTTCCCATGGCTTGTTTCAAATCTAGAACAAGGGTAAGATACAATGGACAAAGAAAAATACAATTTGGGAGAAATATATTTGATATTATCTAATTAAACTAATGCTTTATTGTCATGAAATTGGATAATGGATAACAAGAACAATCCATCTCGTATACATAGCAACCCTACAAAAATGTCAGTATGGACAACTTACTTACAAAACAAGGAATATTATACGGACTAGAAAATCAAAATTTGCACAGGCTACAAAGAATGACCTGAAGAAAACATCCAACACAACCAAACCAAACAGTAACTAAAAATGCATTTTTTATTGAATTACCTTTGCCTAGAAGGTTATGTTTTTGGTGTCATTTGTTTGTACATGTATGCTTCTATGTAAATGTATGTTTGCTTTGTATGTGGTTTAGCATGATAACTCAAGACTTCAGCTATAAATGAATTTTAGGATCGAGGTGTCTAGGTCTTGACAATTTAGACAAATGAGGACATTATTTTCATAATCGATGAAAAACCTTTAATGATGTTTCAGCCATTAGACGATCGAAGATATGAGGTCATGGAACTCTTTTTTTTTGGTATGTATCATTAAGAACATTCAATATGATATGTATAATAACTGTTATTTTTTCTTGCTTGTGGGGCGGATAGAATATACAGTTAAGCCTGTTCAAGGCGTCCATATAGTGGACCGGAAAAAGTGGGCGCCTTGGACAGGTGGTCTCCTTGAAGAGGGTCAGCTCACAACATGACTGAGACATAATCGTTTCAAGTCGAATTGTTCCTCAAGGGACCTTAAGTTAAGATGGGTCAAAGTTTCAGCCCAAAGAAAAATTTACAATTTTTTTTTCGATTTTGCGATTGATAAAATGCAAAACATCAATGATTTTCCGAGTGCTGTTACGTACGGAGATCAAGAACAGAAATGTACTTAATTCAATCAAATGTTTTTACTTATTTTTAGATTAACAGACAACCGAAAACATAACCAGATCATAACCATGTTTTGAAATCAGCACCAATGCTACGTATTTTAGATACCATAATTTTAGGTACAACTGTATATTGTATCATGTGAGTATATTGAGCCCTGAATGAACAATTAAACTCAGTTTCAGTTTGTATATAGTGGATAAAAGCCAATCCAATCAAACTCCTAACTATTGTTAGGTACAATACCCATTTAAGCTATATCAACTTGATTTGTTGGGTCTCGGATTTTTCAGAATGAATTTGAAGCGACAGGGCGAAAAAGTATTGAAAACAAACCTGGACATCCTCTGATAGCTAAAGATAGGACCCATGGTGTATAATTCAAACCAGACTTGTGTATAATTCAAACAATAAATTTTGAAATTTCTAACAATTTGAAACCACTGCATGGATACATGGAAAAACTGTCACAACTAGGGAGACAAGGAGCTTTCCTCAACCGTTTGGCCCAAAATATGAGCTTTTTAGAGTTTTTTCAGGATCTGATTTTTTAAATAAAGCAAAAATGAAACGGGTGAATCAGAGAACCAATTGATTAAATCGGTGTGGCCTGGGGGACCAAATATAGCCCATGGCAAAAACTGACATTCAGTGCACTATCATAGCTCAATCGGTGAACAGCTTATTCAGATTGATAAGTGATGTAGTATTATAGTTGTGTTGTTTTATTACTTATATCATTTTATCCCATAGCTTAGCTTTTTGTATCCTACCCTCCGGTGGGACAGTGTATAAAATGTTTTGCTTGTTTTTTTTTTTGTTTCCTTGTTATATTTTAAGGAATACAGGTGATATAGAAAATCATCCTAAATAGAAATTGGACCCACAGAAGCTGCTTGTATAACAAGGCAAGGCTCGAAACACTTTTTATGCATAATATAACTGCACTGGTACGGTGCAGGTAACATTAAAAATTATCTACACCAGCAAAATTTTACCTCTCTGTTGTAACACTCAGAATTAAGGAAGTATTATTCCCGGCCCATCGTTTACGTTTCCTTCACATAGGTCCAGTCAATGCAGCAAATAAAAATCCCCATACACCCACCCACGAACATGTCTACACTCGACTCATATCTACATGTATGAGTCCATGGACCAGTGCAAGTTAAGTGCATCAATAAACCCTAACAGCACAATTAAAAACTAGCCTCCTTCGCAGACTTGGGGGCTGGCGACGCCAGTTATTCCGCGGAGGAACGATTTTTGCCGACGAAGTAGTTTTGCTGCGGAAAGACGGTTTCGCGCCCCAAACAAGTCTGCTTGCATTCGGCGACCAAAAAGGGCTATTTTAATAAAAAAAACACTTTTAAAAAACACTTATCAACGTTTGGCATGGATGTGCGAACTTTCCACAATAAACGCCATCGGCCAGGGCAGGGAGATGTTCACGTCCCGTTGCTCGACGAGCCAACTTTCTAGCGGTGGCCGATCAACCCGTCGGTGAAAAGCCAACCATTCCCGAAAACCAAGGCATATCCACTCAACAAAATCCCGTTTGGGGCGCGAAACCGTCTCTACGCGGCCAAACTCTCTCGGCGCTCACAGAAAAGAAACAAGAAGCCATAGGCAACAATTCTCCGTGAAGTATTATATATTGCAACAAAAAGAAGTAGCCATTGGCGACAATTCTCTGTGAAGTGTGATAAATCGAACAAAGAAAAAATTGTTTAAAACGCGCGTCGGCTCAGTCATCTTAAGACGCAACAACCAATCAGAGATGCGAGATGCCTACACGTGACGCGGGAAGGGCGCGCGATGCCCGAAATATTTTTGCGTCAATATTCAGCGCCGTGATTCAAGAGATTAATACCCGGGAACAATTTTTTTCTGTTTTGTAACGCATTAACATGCATTTACGCTAATCTAGTATGATTCAGGGTACTTTTTTTTTAACCTTGCCATGGCCAGATTATCTAAAGATGTGTGTATTGTGTGTACAATCTATAGAAAGAGAAATTTACATCAGGTCCGATCATCCGATTTTCACGTTTCGGTTTTTTGGACTCGGTTCATGAACGTATTTCGGTTTGGCTCCTGGAATGTGCAAAAAAATGACTCCCGGGACTGTCTACAGGGAACACTCGCACATTCGCGGTGTATCAGGACAGCGCGACTGGTCGTCATTAGCGCAGTAACAGTTGCATAAACGGACGAAACCATTTCAAAGAAATGGGGATGTTTCGAAAATAAGCATTTACTCCAATATCAAAACAGCTACGGTAAAAATAAAAAGACGTGCATCATCCCGGACATAATGCAACACCACATGCGAAATTACACAGAAATGCGACGTACGGAAGAATGCGTTTTGGCTGCGAACATCTTCCAAAAAACTTGGCATCTCTTAACCATGGGCAAAAACATCTGGAACCACTTATAAAAACCACCCCGTATCTGCATGAACTTTTTTGAACCCCACTGCTATTCCAAACAACGCGTTTTTCTGGACCATTCCAATTCGCCTCGTAATTGTAGGGGTGCGTCTGCGATATTACATTGACCGCGAAAGCAGCAACGGCAAAAATACACATTCGTGCATCAACACGGGCATGCCCGCAGACGGCGTATAAAATTGCGTGCCGATTACACAAAGAGAACCCAGTGTTTTGACTGCGAACATGAAAAATCAGCCGATTACAACACTCCGTCCGGAGGTCCTGACCTCCTTCACGGAGTAATAAGCCGCCACCCAACAAGTCTGCGAAGGAGGCTACCTTGACCCAATATGCAAGTCATTTTTGTGGGTCTGCTAAAGTATCTAATAGATTGAGTTGTGACTTGTTACCATTAATAAAATAGACGATGCGCAAAATATAACGAATATTATATCAGAGCTCAAATCACGATGCATTGTTTTCTTCTGATGGCATTGTTTACAATCCAAGCTGGCATTGTTGTAGATTTAGTTTGTGTGCAGTGGATGAAAATAAAGACGATTCAGTCAAACCCTTTGTGTCTGTTATTGGACAATCCCAATGCCCATTTACGTAAGGGACCAAATAAGTTTGCGGGTTTTCCTGCCCAAAATAGAATACTAAGTACCAAACACAATAAACATCTAAGGTCTTAATAACCTTTGCCAAGAGGGTTTGTGCGGCCTGTGCTGGAGTACGCATGCGTGATATGGCACCCTGGACTGACCAGAGAACAGTCGCAGAAGATAGAACGAGTGCAGAAACGATCACTTAGAGTAATACTTGGGTCGGAATATGACTGCTATCACACGGCCCTGGACACTACTGGACTTAGTAGATTAGACGTGATGAACTGTGCCTGAGGTCTGCTCGTTCTCTCACAAGTAGTGAGAAATACCGTAATTGGTTGCCAGCACAAAGGGGGGATGTACATAATAGAACACTCAGGAACAGCACGAAACTGGCACAGTTTAAGTGCCGAACACAGCGCATGTTAAACAGTACACTACCCTATTGTGTCCGTCTGCTGAATGTCAGTTAAAGTAGTAGAACTGTGTCAGATGATGAGCCGAGTCACAGAGTCCGAACTTGAACTGTTTAATCAACTTCCTATCCTACGACAGATACCACCAGGACCTCCCTCTCTAGGTCTCCACTCTAGACTGACCTCGCCTTCACATTCTTGGGCCAAACTGGTACAAACGATTGGATCCCATCACATTTGCTCCCGTTTCTTCTGATTGAAACACTCATTTCAATCACCATTCTAAACTCTAGGTCCTCATTAATTACAATCCACATCGTCGTATTACTGGTCAGATGGTCCACATGCATTATACACAACTAAAAAAAAAGAACGGATACTACTTGGGCATGCATCTCAACTATATCTCTATATTTCACTAAAGTCTCCATGGTTGTCAGTCCTTTCCGAATTAGACACCGCTAACTCTTAATAATGTTCACAGGAACAGAATAACTTGACTAAAAAGTGTTCCAACTTCGAACCATTGGTAACAACTCCTAGGTTTGTGTCTCAAGCTCGGGACAGTGCATCTGCATTTCCATGGGCCTTGCCCGCCCGGTGTGTCACCGTGAATCGGTAGGGCTGCAGACACAAGCTCCATCGCGTCAGGCGTTGATTCTTGTCTTTCATTTCATCAAGCCACTTCAAGGGGTGGTGATCTGTCACCACCTCGAACTCCCGGCCCAGTAGGTAGTAGCGCAGGTTTTCCACTGCGTATTTGATCGCCAGGCATTCTTTCTCGGGTACGGAATAATTCTGCTCCCGGGGTAGGAGCTTCCTACTGGTGTACACCACCGGGTGTTCTTCTCCATTCCCATCCATCTTTTGTAGTTCTTCCCGCATCTTCTCACGGTGGGCTTGGGCGACCCTGTATGCCCTTTGTCGTACCGGTTTAGAATTGCCAGTGTCGATGTGGTGTTCCGTCAGGGTAGTACGCCCTGGGTTATCTTGGAAGATGTCGGCAAACTCTCGTAGCAGGTCATCCAGCTGCTGACGCTGTTCATCACTTAAGTCTTTATCCACGACTGCGTCTCTCCACTTTGCGGAGTCAGGTTCGCTCCCGCCCAGGAGGTGTGACACCTCCTGAGCATCCTCCCAATCCTCTTCAGTGTCTGAATCAAAGGTGGCCAAGCACGCCGGGGCTGGTTGGTACCATTTCTTCAGCAGATTAACATGTAGAATCATGAGCTTCTTCCGTTTCTCCGGGGTCTCCAACTCGTAATCGACGGCCCACGCGACAGGCCACTGTATAAGGCCCCTGCCACTCAGCTTCCAACTTCACCTTGCTCGAGGGTAGAAGTACTAGGACTTGGTCTCCCGGGCGGAACTCGCGGGCGCGTGATCTCTTGTCGTACCATAACTTCTGGGTTGTTTGTGCCGCCCGCAGGTTGTCCCTCACCACCTCCGTCATCGCCGCCATCCTTTCCCTCACCTTCAGCACATGTGAGATGACACTTTCGCTACTCTGGTCCGCTCCTTCCCAGCTCTCCCGGATAACCTGGATGGGGGCCTCTGACATGACGTCCATACAGCAACTCGAACGGTGAGAAGCCAGTTGACTCCTGGGGAACCTCCCTGTATGCGAACAATAGGTAGGGAAGCAACTTGTCCCACTCCTTCGGATCCTCCCTCACAAACTTCTTCAGCATACTCTTGAGTGTCCCATTAAAACGCTCCACCAACCCATCTGTCTGCGGGTGATATGGGCTGGTCCTGATTCCCTTGATCTTGAGCGAGCTGTACAACTCCTTTAGTAGTTGCGACATGAAATTGGTCCCCTGGTCCGTAAGGATCTCGTCCGGAATGCCAACCCGCGCAAAGAGCTTAACCAGTTCTTCGCTCACTCGCCTTGCATCCACGCTTCGCATTGGTACCGCCTCGGGGTATCTGGTGGCGTAGTCACATATGACGAGTATATACTTATTCCCCATTTTGGACCTCTCGAGGGGGCCTACAATGTCCATGGCAATCCTCTGGAAGGGTACCTCTATCACTGGGAGGGGAACGAGAGGGGCCCTGTAGCTTCCTCTAGCGGTCTTCTGACACGCTTCGCATGCTTGGCAGTGGGCTTTCACATCGGCGTGTATTCCGGGCCAGAAGAAGTTAGCCAAGATCCGTTCGGCAGTCTTCGTCTTGCCAAGATGCCCTGCCAGGGGTGCGTCGTGCGCCAGCTGTAGTACCAACTCTCGGCACTGTTGCGGAAGGACCAGTTGCTTTCGCTCCTCATCAACTCCCGACCTCGGCTTCCACATACGATACAGCACCCCGTCTTGTTCGACGTAGCGTCCGGTACTGGCGTTCAGGTTGACTTCTCCCTGGGCAAGGCGACGCACCTTCCCCAACGTGGGGTCATCACGTTGTAAGCGCTGGATATCTGCGGCATTCAGACTCCTTACGTCCACAGGGTCCGCGGCCTGTCCCGGGCAACTGTCGTGTCCAGTGTCCGGTGCACCGCGTTTCTTGTCAACCCGACGTTGGTTCCTCGACTTCCGAGTCTTCCCATTGTTGTGGAAAAGGTCGTCTGAAAAGTGGCGCCAATCCCCGATGGGATCGTCCATTGAACTGGTCACCGCTCTGGTAACTGTCGAGGTTGGACCCCAGACTGCGTCATGGTCCTCTGTCGTTCGGCATCTTCCTGGGCTGTCTTACGCGTTTGGGCCCTCGTAGTCACGAACGATTCCTGTGTCAGTTTCCCGGACGCACACAGTTGTACGAGTTCAGCCAGATGCGGGACATCTCGTCCCACAATGGCAGGGCGCGGCAGGTTTGGGGTAACCTTAGCCTTGATCCGGTAACTTCGGTGGCCAATCCGGATGTCTATCTGCGCGGTGGGGTATTTTCTTTCGTCCCCATGGACGCAGGTGATTCCATCTTGATCATCGGTGAGCTTCCTTGCGTCCACGAGGTCTTCTCGGACTAAGGTCTGGGCGCTCCCAGTGTCCAGCAACAGTGGTACTGTCCTTCCCTCTACCTGGCCCCTGATGACGAAGGTTGTCTGTTGCCGGGTCCTCGTGCCCGTGAAGAAGGATCTAGCCCCGGATGGTTGTGCCTCTTTAGTCACAGGGCAGTCCCTTGCGAAATGGCCAGGGTCACCACATGTATAGCAGGTACCATTCCCGCGCGCTGTCCAAGGTTGTGAGCGACCACGGCTTTGTGGTGTCTTTTTCCCCTTTTCTTCTTCCTCCCTGCTGGAAAGCTCCTTCTTGTGGGCGGTCAGGTAATGTTGAGCCACCTCTGCCAGCTCCACCAGACTATCTGGATTTCGCTCCCTGAGGTGTATTGCCAGGTCTGGTGGGCAGGCTTCCATAAACTGCTCTTTTACAAACAAATCACGAAGCGACTCGTAATCCTTCGTCGTCTTGGATAACTCCACCCACCGGTCCAGGTAACTGGTCAGGCGTACCAGGAACTGCTCTGGACTTTCTCCTTTGTCCGGCTTGTTCTGTCGGAACTTGTTGCGGAAGCCATCCTCAGTTAGATTGTAACGTTTCAACAATGCCACCTTCACTTTGTCGTAGTCTTGGGCGTCTTCGTTACTGAGCCTCGAATATACTTCAAGTGCCTTCCCAGTTAACAGCGCGCTTAGGTTGGAGGCCCAGACCTCCTCCCTCCAGCCGTCGGAGCTGGCAAATCTTTCAAACCTCTGTAGGAAGGCATCTACTTCGTCCTTCCCGTCGACGAACGGTGGAAGCTTGGGAGTTTTCGCCCGCGCACGCTCCATTTCCTCTAGTGCGCCTCTCTCTGGCCCGTACCGCCTCATCTCCAGCTGGTGTCGCCGTTCCGCCTCCTTCTCCTGCCTTTCTTTCTCTCTTTCTTCTGCTTCCCACTTCATCTTCTCCATCGACATCTGTCGTTCCCTTTCTTTCTCTTTCTCTCTTTCTTCTGCTTCCCACTTCATCTTCTCCATCTCCATCTGTCGTTCCCGTTCTTTCTCTTTCTCTCTTTCCTCTGCTTCCCACTTCATCTTCTCCATCTCTCCCTGCCGTTCTCTTTCTTTCTCTTGTCTCTCCTTGTCTCTCTCTGCGGCTTGAACTCTCATCTTCTCGAGTTCAATCTCCTGTCTTTTGGCTTCGGCTTCTAGCTTCTGGCTCTCGAGCTCCAGCTCTTTCTCTCTTTTCGCTGCCTCTACTCTCTGTGCTTCCCTCTCCTTAACTCTCTCGTCTCTCTCCAGGGCCTGCTGCACAAACTTATGCAGTACTTCTCCTTCTAGCCCCATATTTTCCCCTGCTTCGATATATCCCTCCATTTCTTTCCTTTCAGCAACGGCTACTGACTTGTTTGGTACTACCGTGCTCCAGTTTACTGACTTGAATCGGCCCGTCTGGCCTGCCGGGGTCTGTCTGGAATGTGACTGAGGAGTCCCACACAATGGATGCACACAGATAACGTTGGGCACATGTGGTTTCACTTAAGACTGCATACACTCCCGGCCCATTGTTTACACAATTTAACTTCTCTGGAATGACACCCACTTCAAAAATCCATATAAACAGTCCGTCCAACTCACGGTTGACTCTTCCCTGACTTCTCTTCCCGTGGTAACACACAGCACAAGTTCCGATTGTCCTTCCGGGTCTGTCCTTGTATAGCTCTATTATGGTTCAGTGTCAGGATCTTCGAGTGTCAGGTCAGGTTTTCCGGACGGGGTCTCCACTTACTGGTTGTTACTTCGGTAGATTACGGTCCCACTTCTTGCACCACGTGTCAGATGATGAGCCGAGTCACAGAGTCCGAACTTGAACTGTTTAATCAACTTCCTATCCTACGACAGATACCACCAGGACCTCCCTCTCTAGGTCTCCACTCTAGACTGACCTCGCCTTCACATTCTTGGGCCAAACTGGTACAAACGATTGGATCCCATCACAAACTGTAAGTCGTGATGGTAGTGTTTTATTTGATTTTATAGTGATTTATGTCTTTGTTAATTCTGACTTGCAACGCATAATGCTGATAAGCATACGATTTTATTGGAAAGAAACCGCAATGTGCTTGTGCTGCAAGGGTTGTTGTGAATAATAAACCATTCTCTCTCAGGGTTATATTTTCGGTTTGGCTATGGTGGGGGTGACTGTGGATTTAGGCGGCATAACTCTTGAGGTCATGGATGGATCTTCATGATATTTTGTAGGTTGCTGTTTGGAAGACACATTAGGTGAAAAAACGGGCTTAAAGGGAGGACCGTGCGTTACTGTAGTGGACCTTTCGAGTCTGTTGTGTATTTTGCGAGTGGGATACGTCAAGAGTGGATATGCAATATATAAACAGGTAAGGGAAATATGGTAACTACTATTCTATTCTATCCTATTCTATTCTATTCTATTCTATTCTATTCTATTCTATTCTATTCTATTCTATTCTATTCTAGGCATGCTATTAGGGATTTTGACTTCTTCTCGGGAGGCAGTGGGAGATGAATTGTCCAACTCTTTGAAAAATAAATGGGATCGGGAGACTTATAGCGGTACTAGAGTTCCACGATCTCATACCTTCGCCAAATGATGTTAATCTTTATGACTAACAAATTGTAAATTATCCCACCTTATTATGCAAATAGAATCCTCATTTGCATGAACTATATATCAGTTTATCGTATTCTCCACAAAAATAGTCTCATTACATGTCACAAGCTTGAATAGTCATATTATTTAATGCAGCTGATTTATATAATTTCCTCATAAATTATGCAAAGTGCATCCATATTAGCATTATTTTCACATAGTTATGTTGAGCATCACTTAAGCTACCGACACACCGAAAATCAAACCTTGAGTTATCCTCTTTTGAATTTTAGCAAACAAATGCCCCTGCATTCTTAGAGCAAGATAGCTTATTATATTTCAATTTATTAGATACCAGAAGTTCTGTTACAGTACCGAGGAAAGCCGCCAAGGGTAGGGCAAAATATTATCATTTCTAAGCCTCATCAACACCTACCCACCTACCATCTATCCATCCATCCATCCATCCATCCATCCACCCATCCATCCATCCATCTATCTAATATAATAGTATCTATCAATCTATCAATCTATCAATCTATCTATCTATCTATCTATCTATCTATCTATCTATCTATCTATCTATCTATCTATCTATCTATCTATCTATCTATATCTTTGTGTATGTATCTGTACGTGTATATTAATATGAATATGTAGATAAATTACTAGTTATCTCAATGTCCGAATTCAGGAATAAAGGTTTACATTTTGGATTGTTGCGGCTGTCGTTTTGTCTTCTCTTTGATCTAGATAAAAACGTTTCACACCGTTATTCGAAGTCCGGTATTCAAAATAACGTGGGTTGATATCTAAGAGATGACATCACAGGTACAATTTTAAACAGAAATTTTATTCCACCTTTTACAAAAACGTAACAAAGCAGTATTTAAACACCAAAAACATGTGGTATTAGGTGCAGATGAGTAGGGTAGTGCTGCCATGATAACAATTGCTTCATCCAAACGCTCTACAAATTTGCAGTTAGGCCACAGCAAGTAATTTTTATGGATGACATCAGCGCGCGAATTAATTTTCGCCTGATCTTGGGGAAAAAAGAAATTTTGTTGCCTTCTGACAGTGGTCACCATGCCGAAAATGGGCTTAGATGTCTGTTGCCATGCCGGAAGGTGGATGGCAGATAACTAATGAAGAGAGGTGACAAGAAAAGACTCTGATTTAATGTTCTGTTTCTTACTTTAATGCAGTGATATGAGATGCTGGTTTTGTATATATCATGTGATGTTCCCACTGAGTCAAAACCATTTGTACAATGATTGAGTCAAAATTTAAAAAATGTAGGAACCTTGTTTTTTCGGCCGGTCTTATTTTTTCGCCCGCTCGCATTAGCTTTGGAGTCTGCAGAGGATGTCATCCATAAAATTTACTTGCTGTGGCCTTAATTCTCATATTTGACGTTATATCAGTTTTCCATCTAATCATACCTCCCTTCCCCAGTTCTATGGTCGTTACGAAGTAAAGTTGAATTTTACAGTGTTTGTAGCAAAAGTTTTTTGACAATTTCAAAGTATTTCATTCAAATTAGATCTTCTACGGATTGTCAGCGGGGATGACCAGGAAAGATTGTAAGGGGGGAGGGGGGCGCTTGTGCTACCAAAGGCGACAAATTTTATATGTTTCTCCTTTTACTAGCAAGAAAGTTCATCTGAGTTGGTAAAATACATATAGAAAATTAAACTGTTCTCCAACTCAAAAACGACAATTACTCGAATCGCTCAGTCTTCATCAGCGTTATGACCCAAGTGCTGTGGACACGTGGCTTTTAGCCTTTGAGATGCTCTTGATATAATTTTCCCTTCGAGGGAGCATATCTGACCCTCCAGACCACAAATGAGTAAGGGTATTAGAATAAACTCTTTCATAAATAAGTTGGCTCACATTTTGACCCCCAAAAGCTTTCCTGGTCAGTCCCACATAGAATAGTTCGACTAAGCACGTCGGCAGAACGTACTGCACCTGCGCGAAACCCGAAATTTATTGTACATAGCATTTTGGCAAAATGTCTCGTATAAGGTTGTATTCGCTCATATAAGGTTAGCATTCCGACAGTAGTTTCCAAATTTTGTTCCGAACAGAATATCCTCTGCAACAGGAAAAATTCTGATGCAACGTTGACCAAAAACCCAACGAAAAACGCGAAAATGCGGAGTTCTGCGCAGGCGCAGTACGTTCGACTACATTACAAAAAAAAAATCAAGCCTTAGCCTAGTTTGTTAAACAAAACAGAACTGGGAACAATGTATCTCACCACCCATAGCAATATCACAAAACTACGGATCAGCTGCCATAAACTACACATTGAGACCAGTCGACATAACCGCACTCCCCTGGAACAACGTATTTGTCGATACTGTAATCTAGATAGAATAGAAGATGAACTTCATTTTGTAGTAGAATGTAGTTTGTGTAACAGTGAGAGAATTGAAATTTATAGACGAATAACATCGATGTTTCCCCACTTTACACACCTAAGTAATACAGACAAATTCACTTTTTAATGAACTTAGACAAACCCTCGATCCTTAAACTTGTATGTTCTTATCTTTTCAACATCACAGAGAAGCGAAGAGAAGTCGAAATTATGTAACAGACTGTAGTGCTAGTACTAGATTGACCTTGTTGTGTACATGTATATATTTGTGTATTCAAGTTAACCTTTGTACCTAACCCAGTGGGTATGTTTGTACAATAAAGGTCTTCATTCATTCATTCATTCATTCATTCATTCATTCATTCATTCATTCATTCATTCATTCATTCATTCATTCATTCATTCATTCATTCATTCATTCATTCATTCATTCATTCATTCATTCATTCATTCATTCATTCAATATATCTTGTCCTTATGAACCATTTGTCATTGCGAGCATATCTTGAGTTTTCGTTGATAACTTTTACCATTAGAAAGCACATATTTTCAAAAAAATGTTGATCTCGTTAAAGGCATCCAATGTGATTTCAGAGCAGAAAAACTGGAAATATTCTGAATAAGGCAATGTTTATATTGACACATACTGCTTCACATTAGCACATTTCAATCATTATTTCGTACTTTGGGTCCTTAAAACTGGAGAAACAAGACACAAGATGAGTCCTTTATTTTATTGGTGGTACCCTAAAAATCAGCCAAGGGCCCCTCCACTAATCAGTTTCCGTCATAATTTTGGGAATTTTGGCTCCATGAGGGTCAATATACAATGGGATAGTGTAGTTTCAACTCAGTATGTAGATAAGTGACTAGAATATTGACTTTGAAAATTTGGGTTTCCAAGCCCTAAAAACTGCACTGGATGCCTTAAAGATCTGCGCAAGCCTTAGTCTAGTTTGTTAAACAAAACAGAACTGGGAACAATATATCTCACCACCTATAGCAATATAAGTTGTCCTTATGAACCACTTTTTGTGAGCATATCTTGATATTTCTATGATAACTTTTACCATTAGAAAGCATACCGATTTATAGTTAAGTACAATGGTATACTTATAATGTGAATTTATGATATGATACTGCTTGTGCATAAAAAAAAACAAAATGCATCAAAAAGCTCGCATGGGAAAATAAAAAAAAATGATATTCTTTATAATAATTGTCAAAAAAATAGCATTTTCTTCACTTTCCCATGGGTGCTTTTTGGTACATTTTGTTATTTTTTCAGGATCTGATACTACACATCATAAATCAATAGTGTTTCCAGAAACACGAATTTGGTGAAGTTAGGATACCATATTTTAAGTGAATATTTTCATCAATGGTCCACCAGTGTTTATCATACAATTTCAAATGATGCAGATTAGCTGCAAAATTCAGGCACTCTCATAGACTACTTTAGCCTTTTGACAATCCAAGAAATGAAATCTACTAAATAAAAATTGTAATTAGTTACTGCACTGTCAAATGCAAGATGACACATGCTTGTTGCTTACAGTCAGCCATCTCTGGAATGTGTATTGCAAGGAATCCTGGGATGGTTTCAAATCCCTCTCGCCCCATGCCATAGGTATGGATGAAATAGAAATATAATGTTCTTCCTCATGTTTTTCCTCCTTGCTCAACTATTTTGTTAATTAATAAATGGATTCAGTTTCTTCATTTTTGGCAAATGACATAGAACGTGGCATGGATGTAGGAAGGGCAAATAACCCAAGCCTTTATTCATTTTTGATACAGGATTTGGGAAGTGTTTGTTTGTTTGTTTGTTTGTGGCCATTTTCAGACAAACAGCGTATATTTTGGACTAGAGACTAGAGTCTTGCTATTAAACTCAGATAGTCAGAAATTTTCTGTAGATGTGAGTCAGATATATACCAACAGAAATTCAACTTCCTTAAAAATTGTATAATTTGGAACTTTTGGGCTGCATTCAAACCTAAATGAACAGTGTTTTGTACGTCATTAGTTAGTTTCTAGTTATTTCCATACGTCCTGTGTCATGTCCAGTATAGTCCGCGCCAGGCGGACGGCGGTTTCCGCGTGCTGACGGGTGAACGCGTCGTGAGGAACTCTCGGTGCCGGGTGGAGGTTGGGGTAGCGGGCCCGCAGGTACACGTCATCACACCCGAGGGACGACCCGAGGGACGACAGCTCCATGGCGGCATCGCCGACACCGGTCAGTTCGTCCCCGCAGCTGGTCTCCAGTGCCATCGCCATGCCTCCTATCTGGTGAATCATCTCGTACTTTCCAAACTTTCCCAGTTGCACAGCTTTCAAAGCTTTCTCTGCCGCCTGGTGGCACATCAGACACGTCCACTCAAAGGAGGTACCAGGACCGCTTAGGATGTTCCTGGCAGCCTGTAGGTCTGCTGTAGCCTGGCGATGCCAGCGGCCCGCCTCCCGCGGGTTAGGGAAGCCGTCTCCATCGGTCCTGGGGGGAACCCACTGGCCTGAGCGGGTTCGCCAGTCTCTAAAGTTTCCGCCTTTGTAGCGTTTGCGGAACTGCTCCCTCTGGCGGCGGTGGGATCTGGCATAGGAGTCCCACCTGTTAAAGGAGCTGCTGAAGCTACTTCCTCCGAAATCAAAGCCTCCAGACCTAGACCCTCTTCCTCCGAAACCAAAGCCCTCGCCTCCAGACCCAGACCCTCTTCCTCCAGACCCAGCTGATCCTCCCGTCCTCCTAGGAAGACCCTTCTCAAGCCTGCTGATCTCGGCCTGGATGTGTTTGCACACCTCAGTAGCCAACTCGACGTTGTCGGGGTTCTTATCCGGGTGCCATTGGAGGTAAAGGCGTCTCACAACCTTCTTTCTCTCCTTTTCTGGAAGTTGCCATGCTTCCTCCAAGATGTTGCTCACTTCTTCCATTGCATCTTCAAGACTCTGAGGTGGTTTAGCTGCTGAAGTAGCTTCTTCGTCTGCCTCCCCTTCGAACGGAACGAGCGGCCCTGACACGCTGGGGCGGCAAAACTTGTAAAGGTCTGCTGCACTCACTGTTTTTGTGTGTCCGACGTTTATGACATATTTCCTGCCGAGACCGAACTTGAGATCCATATCTGCAGGTGCTTCTTTGATGACTTGTGCGTACAGAAATGTCATGGTGTATTCTTCTCCCTCCTCCTCCGAATCCTCCAAGTCTGGATCGTACACCTCAAACCCCACATAGTCACCAGGAGTGAAGTAGTGAGCCAGGTTGCTCGTCAGAAGGTGGTGAAAGATTTCCGGAATTGGAGTCCCGAGAGTTGGAAGAGGAGAGTCATCTTGCTCACCCGAAGTGTAACGCTTTATCTTTGCCCTATCAAGTTTCTTTGGAATATCAGATGGATCTTTGACACTCAAAACCATCGAGAGGGGCCCGAGGTTTACCAGTGAACGCCCAAGACCATCGTTGATCACCTCAGCTAGCTCACAAAGAAAAGACTCGTACTCTTCAGATGCTGCGTCTGTGTGTGCTACGTAGAGGGTGTTGTCTTTAATGAAACAGTAGGACGTTCCGTCGCTGTCTTTGATTTGCTCCTGTGATTCCTTGTACACAAGGCGAGTGATCAGCTGTCGTTTGCAGCAGACTGTAATGGACGACGCGAACTTTTCTACAGCGTCCAGGACCTTCTTGTCGTCACATCTTTCGCCGAGGGCATGTTTCGCTAGACGAACTATGGCTTGTTGAAAGTGGGCGCTCAAGAACAATGAGGACAATTTTGACTCCAGTACGCAATTAGTGCCCAGCACACAAGCCATCTGCTCATCTCCGTCACAAAGTTGTTCCTGTACGAGGGAGCTGAGATTCTTGGGCCTGAGCTGAGGTGGCAGTCTATTAATCAGTTCGTGTTCATCACCAGACAATTGACAATTCTTTAAGCGAATCAATAAGGTGTAGATAAAGCCATCCTTGACTCTGTCTGTGAACTGTGGGGCATCGTCGAAAACAAGGTCGGTAGACTTTTGCAGCGTTTCCTTCTGACTGGGGAGGTACAGGCATTTTGACTTTTGAAAAGCATCCTCAGTGTCTTGTGTTTCCGACTGACGTCCTCCCCCAAAAGGGATAAGTGACTCAGGTTTCAAAGAACGGAACAATCCAGAAACGGCCATGTATGTGGCGATCTTCTCATTCGGGTCCAGAGGTTCGCCTTTAGACAAAGCATACAGATCCTCGAGGACTTTCGCGTATTGCATTGGAGTTGGTTTCTCTGGAGCCCCTAATGAAACAAAAAGCTTGTTGTATGGCCCAAGCTCTATTGGCATACCATACAGGTATGGCCGAATCTCATGACTTTGCTCGAGTGTGATCGCAATTTGGTTCGGTGGAACGAGTCTTCTGCCCTCTTCAACTACCATACATGGCACTTTTCCTAACTTCTCCTTCAAGGAACCGCCATCAGAGGCATTCTCTGAAAGGAATGCGTAGACTTTCAGCATCACCTTCCAAAGAGTTTGGCAGGCCGAGGATGAGTTTGCTCCCTCTTCCGTCTCCGTGGCTTTTTGTTGGGCCAGATGTTGGCAAAGATGTGTGACGTGGCTAGTAACTGTATCTATTGATGGCTGTACTTGGATGCCAAGTCGACGACGCAAGTCCTCAGAATCTCCTCGATAGTAGTACCGTGACTCTTGGGCCACATCGTTGGGGAGAAGATTGGCCCTGGTCCAGCAAAGCACCTGTTCGTCCTCTGGCACTGAGTCCTTGAAGCAGACAAAGGGCAAGACGTCGCCCTTGACTCCATATTGACTGTGCAGCTCGATCAGAGCACTTCGTGCCTTTATAGGAGCAATGAACCTGATACCAGACACTTCTTCAATGAAACGTCCTTCCGACAACTTTTCCATTGTGAAGAAATACTTAACCAGAACGTTTGATTTCTCTGTCAATCGACTCTCTTTGCTTCTGGTTACTTTAACCAGACGTTCCACTTGCCTTGCGTACTCGAGGAACATGGGCTTTGTTACTTCGTGAATAAGCCCGATGTCGATGAAGAACTGTCTCCATTTCCACATTTCCTTTCGATAGTCTTCAGGGAGGAAGTTCTCGTCTGAGACCATTTCACGGAACACCGAATGGTCGTGGTCATAGAAATCACTCACGGGCCTTCTGCCTCTTTGTGATGGGATGATGTGTAGATGTCGTAGACTTGCCAACAAAGACTCGCGGGTACGTGTATGCTCCTCTACCATATTCATCCCATTTAACATATTTCTTAGGTACTCAAGGTGCACCTTTACTGCCTCATCACTCAGGTGGTTGATGTTGGGGAAAATGTACTTTTGGTACACATCGGCATCCGTAATCCCTGAGCACCCCAGTGCCTTGTGTAGTCCCTCGAGTTTGGAGATTTTTTCGAGAAAGACCGCGTCTGACCGTTTTATCCACTCATCCATTTCGGCTGTTGGTATTCCCGCCGGCAACACGTGACACTGGCGCGTGGTGATGAGACTGATGAGCTTGTTGTGGATGGTTTTGTACAGGGGCAACGATCGCAACATGTGCAGATTCACTGGTTCAGTTTTAAGCTTCCTTACTTCTTCTTCAAAGTACTTTAACAATTCAGTAGCCTCGTTGGTATCCAAACGAGTTGTAGTGGGTCCATGAAGTTCCTGTTCAACTAGGATGAAGTTCAACACTTTTAGAATCCCCACATGGTCTGTGAGACTTGAGATGAAACGTTTTGCAACCTGCAAAGTTGCGTAGCAAAGGGCTGTGGCTGTGTGAAAACAACTTGTGTCCAGCTCCAGGCATTGGAGTTTGCGCAGAATTCCTGCCACTTTGTTCCTTTGTGCAGATATCGACATTTGGTCGAAGGTTACGACAGTGTGTGCTTTGCACAGCGGGACTAGGTAACGCTCACCTGGTTGCACCGGAGGAACGACGTTAGACGATATGAAGGGCTGTCCCACCTTCTGTGAGTGTGTGCAAGCCGGCAACACAGCCCATTTGTCGAACAAACGCATAATCTCTTGAAAGACTTCCTCTCCTCTTGTTCCACCCTTGTGTACTTCGTGACCGAAGAATTCCCAAAGACGATAAACCCAATCTTGCGGTGGTGTTATGGGAGACTGATTCAATTTGACGGCCCTTCCATTTCCGAACAAAGTCTCATCAAGTACACGTGGCATCAGTCTGCACAAAGCGTTGGCGTTAAAGCCCTGAACTGACTTGTCAGTGTCTTTACTCAGTAAGTCTGAGACGCAAGAGGTGTGTACAAAAAGCTCTGGTTGTGTGGGGACAAGATCGGCATATTCAGTAGCAAACACGGGGCATGAGACGTCAAAAACCCTCAGAATATTATCTGCTGTTAGAAGCAAAGGGAGGTCATGTAGTGCATGCTCCTGTTTTATCTTTTGTGGATCTGACACAGGATGGCCATGTGACATGTGCTCCTGGTTTCCTTCTTGTTTTTCCCTTATGGACAAACAATAGTGGAGAACCACTTGAAGATTCTCTGGCTCTTTGAAAGTAGTTTCTCTAAGTGATGCAGGGAGTGAGGCTCCAATGTGACACAGCGGATTGTAAGATGCATGCGTCTTAAGAAACTTGGCTACTGACTCTGGCTGGACGCTTTTTACTTCTACCTCAGACTTTCTAAACTCTTGATAGATTTTTGTTGCAGAGTGGTCTAGCAGATTAAACCCTAGGGCCAGAAGACTCTCCACCAGTACCTGTCTTCTAGGCTTTCTGGGTTTTATGGTGTTCGCCATCTCTGTTCTCCCAGCATCATCGTACTTCAATGTGTTGAAAAATGCCTCATCTCTTCCAGATCCTGTCGGTGGTAGCCATTCTAATGTCATCTGGTGGTGGCGGTGGCTTCCTGGTTTGCAATCGTGATGTGTAGACCGTAGCACCGGCAAAACGGGAAGATGTTTGCGATCGATGTGCTGATAGAAAGCTAGTGACAGGTCTTTCCACTCATCAGTCGTTTTTGCGACGGATGGAAAGAGATCGTGATACGACTCCAGCGATCTCTTGACCCCTTGTGCCTTTGATACTGTGAAAGGTTTCTGTTTTAATCCGAAGTCTGCTGCTCGTTTCGCATCGAGAACCGCGGCGTACGCCGGGGCGATGACTTCTTTGATCAGCGTCTTGTTCCAATCTGACTTCATCCCACCATTCTCGTCTTTCCACAGGTTTCTCCGAGCCTCGTGGTCCAGGGCGAAATGGCCATTCACATGGACCGGGAGCTGTGTTTCTATGGGAAGTGGCAGGAAGCAGAATGCGCGCTTGGGCCCCATATGGTAACACTTCTGATAATTCCTTGATTGATTGGGAGCCTTTGACGAAAAAGGCTGTTTGCAGTCGTTGTGGCAGATAGCTGCCCCCCCTCTTGGAAGTAGACCCAACTCCTTTGCTGCGTGGGCCTCTTTGATGCTGTTTGGGATGTCCTTGTTTTCAAACCCGATTCTCTGGTGAACTATCCACGTCTCCTGGTGCTGCTTGTTGTCACGTAGGTCCAAGTTGTACGTGACATGTTGAGTTGGCAATACGTGAAGAGGATCTTCACTGTGAGCACGTTCAGCCACGTAGTCCGCAAACTTGCGTCGGTCTTGCTTTGCCTTCTTTGAAATGCGTGCTTCGGCGTGATAGAACTCACGCGAGGTTCCGTCCCTCTCTATGATGGAGATATTGATCTTTTCCACGCTGTTGAGAAACAGAAGGACTTTAAAGCTTTCACTTTTGAACTTGTGAAGGAGGTCCATTATTACTTTTTCGGTCACTGCTTTGTCACTCAGGTCGGACGCTTTTGCCATCATTGCTGTCCGCAAAGGAAATCTGAACATGGTATTCTCCTTAGACGAAAACGCAGGCTGGTCATTGAGATAGCAGTTGAACACATCCTTGTATTGTTGCCTCAGGTAGGCGTCGATGCCACGAAACATTCGTCCCGGGCACTCCAGTCTCGCTCCTGGGACAAATCGGAGCTGCGGGTCGAAAACACACAGCGTGTCTCCTCCTGTCATGAAGGACGGACAGTCTGTCAGGTGGTAGACCGCGTTGAAGCCG